TGTCAGTTGTTGAAATCTAGCATGTCAAATCATGTAATTCTAAGAATATGTTTTTTTTTTTTTAAATGTAAACAAACATTTCGTTTTTTTTTTTTATTTTATCTCATTTGCGTTACGGAAAGAAGCAGACACCGATTTAGGGTAAACAGTCAGCGTGTTTACAGTTAACTGTGTAACCGGAACTTTTCAAAACATCAAATTGCACGCGTTTAATGTGTTCTTAATTCTCGGGTGGTCATCTCCCGCAATTGCCTTCCATGAGTTGTGGATTTTTCATTGTATGTCAGATAGGTTATCAAAATAAGCACCATGTATTGCTGCACAAGTGAACTGATTTCCAGTCTCCAATCGTGTGTCAGTTGCTGTATATTCTATTTTAGGAGTATTATTAGTAAAACAGGTAGTCGCCTTGGCGTTGGGGCTAGACGCCCGCTTGCGGATCGGAAGGTGGTGAAATCGCGCCCGGGCGGAGCTAGACTTTTTTCAAAAATGACCATGACTCCCAAGTCGACCCAGCCTTAAGTGGGTATCATGTGCAGTCCTGGGAGGTAAAGGTGGCCGGTGTGATGATAACCACATCACCCACCAAGTGCTGATTGGTCTATAAAATTATAGGTCTAGCCCTCTATTCCCAATACGCCTAAAGGCTGGGAAAAGGGTCCTATTAGTCAAACAAAGATCTAAGAAATTCACCGCTTTAAGAAAACAGCAGCAACTGTGCAAGAGTAAATTATAAAATCATTAGGACACACGAAATCTAACGCCCCGTGCGAAAATTCGTGTTGATCCGTACAGGAGTTTTCGAGATATTTCTTAAAGTGTGTCGACATGACTTTTGAAACGAACTCTAGTGGTAGTGGCCGCAGCAGCAGTGGCAGTATAAACACTACACATTTGTTTGTTTGTTTTTATTTGTCTTTGTTCCTACCTTCTATTCTCCCCCCTTCTCTCATTGTCTCCGACTCTCTCTCTCTCTCTTTCTTTCTCTCTCTCTCTCTCTCTCTCTCTCTCTCTCTCCACCTCTCACTCACCCAAGAAAGAGAAACATTAAACCGCACGCATGTCACGTGTCTGCTAGAATTTCCTTTCACGTGTAAAAACTCATAAAGACACAGAGAACATAAAAGACAGTCACAGACGGCGGTAGTTACACTTGGATCGATGCAGCTTCTCTCAGTCATTGGAAATCAATTCAACTTCTTCAGGCCCCTTGTATGAACATGTTGACCGACTTCCCATAAAAAGTATCATTACGTCATATAAACCCCTTGCTAGCGTCTATTGAATATGGTTGTTTCTTCTCCTCCTTCTTCTTCTTCTTCTTCTTCTTCTTCTTCTTCTTCTTCTTGTCACTGCTACTGATATATCTTCTCCTTTTGTCGCTGTTTCTTCTTCTTTTGCGTTTCATTCTATTTCTTATGCCCAAGTTAAGGACTAATAAGAAGACAAATGTTAAATATATAATTTAAAAAACAAAAGATAAAATTAAGATACCGAATGTTTAAAATGTTATAGATAGTGGCATTCAGAAAGTACTGTCCTACGCTGTGTTATAGAAGAATAATGAAGACATAAACGTGAAATGTTCCATGTTTCAAATCTAAAATTCATGTATTGTGCGTACAAAATCGCACATCTTTTAAACATCCATAAAAACTCTGAGGAACATACATAAACGTTCATGTGCGGTAAATGGAAGTTGTACAATCGATAGGAGCACAGGAAGCACCAGGGCTAAGAAAGTTAAAGCTTCAAAAAGTTAAGAGGCGGACCTGATGATGTTGATAATACCGTGAAGAATACATTTGAAATGAAAACAGGTGTGCGACAGGAATGTCATTGGTCGTCTTTCTTATTTTTACTGGCAATAGACTGGATTATGAAGACACCAACTGCGAACACCAGGATTGGAATTCAGTGAACTGCTTAAAAAAAACAGTCTGATGATATGAACTTCGCTGATATTTATCTTCTATCCTACTCACGAAATCAGATGTAAGATAAATTAAATATGCTTGATGCGAGACCACAACATCTAGGTCTAAAAATCCACAAGGGAAAAACGGAAAAAGATGTGGAGGACATGAGGTGAGCTGCAAGCAAACGATAATAAGAATGGATCCAGCAAATAGTAATGTGGTTTCTCTTAATGGTATCCCACTCCAAGCTGTGGAATTATACATCTTTTGGACAGTAATGTAGACAATGATGGGGGAGGGGGGGTGGGGGGGGGGGGGGGGCTGATAGAGATATTTAAATCCGAATACAAAAGGCAAAAGGAACTTTCATTGCACTAGGAAATTTGTGGGGGCAAAAGAAATCAAAAGTAATACTTAACTTAAAATTGTTAATTATAATGATAATTAAATATTTTGCATAGAGCAGAAACATGGAAAACAACTAAAACAATTACCAATAAACTACAAACATTCATTAACTGGTCCCAAAAATAACAAGGACATGAAAGTAAAATATGAAATTATAATTGCAGCAAAAGAAA